AGACTCTAGTACTCCGATCTGCCGGCTACAGAAGCCTTGGTTTTGCTGGATTTGTCCAGTTGGATGCTGTTTATTTTTTTATCAAGGGATCCTTAAGCCGGTTTAGTAGTAGATGTCATTTTGAGAAGTAACAACAATAACTTGAACTAGCGACTGAACGCTACCAGTATACGTACACTACGAACACACTAAATAACAGATTTTTTATACTATATAGTACACTACGAACACACTAAATAACATATTTTTCATACTAGCTGTTTTTTGGAATTGCTTCGAGCCGCATAGAATTTCGTGGCATAGAATCTCTACATGTTATTTAGGGTTATATGTTATTTCTAACTGTTATAAAATAACAGATAGTTAAATAACAACCCATCTCTATTCCAATGCATTGGCCACAATTTCACTGAAAAGCTGCGATGCAAGGCGATTTTCTTTGGTTCAATAAAAACATTTACGTGGAACTCTCTTATTTTATTTGCCTACTGGAACGATTCCTTATCTTGTAGTATATCCATTCTATATCCATTCAATAATTTGATTTTTCCCATTGACTCTTTTCCGCCCTGTGTTTCTAATAAGCATAATAATATGACATACAAGGCTGTTGAATGTTAGCCATAGTGATGTTTGTTAGGGCTGCATAAATGTTAAACTTGTTAGTTTAACGTTTGACTTATGAAAACTAATGCATTACTGGCTATTGTAGTCTCTATTGAACCAGTAACTATATCTACATAGCCATAGGATTTTTGTTCACTAGGAACCCATTCTTCGTACTTCCCATTAGTAAATTGTGGTAACACATTGGTGCTTTAATACCAATTACTAATTATCTTTGTGTGAGACAAACATATTATATTAAAGGACCTCCTTACTTACGGGCTACTGGTGTAAACCCAACAAGCAGAATTTTATTGCTGCTGACTTCGGCAAAGCAAGGCGTAACATTGCTTTTTTTATTGTAGGGAGATATATACAGGGTTGAACAACCCATCATTCGCCACTTAGTAATCCTCGTCCTTCAATGGCACTACTCTCCCCTGCCAAACACGCAAAACTATGCTTTTTAAAAAAACTTTCTGGAGTATATCGAGGGTACAGTGTTATGTTATTTTTTTTTGTAAAATGGGGGGTGCCAGAGTATTGCAGGTCTTGTTTGTCGAAGTATATTCTCAAAGATCTAGAAGGTCTAGTAAGAAATTCGTAGATAGGTAATACAGTGAGCTCTAGTGATGAGGTGTTTAGGGGAGACTAAAGTAGCGTCACAGGTGTAGTGTTTTGTGTTCTTTTGTTTGGTGAATTAAGAAACGTTCGCCATGATGTATAGCCTCATTTTTTTTATATATTTAGCTCGGGATCACCAATTTCTTTATCAGATATATTGCCGTACACTTTCCCGCCATCGATTATTGAATTGGAGAGGAAGATGTATGCCATTTCCAGAAATACCTGGATTATAGATTCATTAGGAGTGGTGGTCCATCAACATCCGCGTTATTTAACCAGCCTCGTAGACCCCGGCACTCCGATCTGCCTGCCTGCAGAAGCCTTGGTTTTTCTAGATTTAACCATTTGGATGCCGTTTATTTTTTTATCAAGGGATCCTTAAGCCGGTTTAGTAGTAGATGTTATTTTGAGAAGTAATAACAATAACTAGCGACTGAAACTCTGACTGAACACTACGAGTATACGTACACTACGAACACACTAAATAACAGATTTTTCATACTATGTAGTACACTACGAACACACTAAATAACATATTTTTAATACTAGCTGTTTTTTGGAATTGCTTCGAGTCGCATAGAATTTCGTGGCATAGAATCTCTACATGTCGTTATTTTATATCTGTTACTTTTTAAAAGTAGCAACGGTTGCGTTATGTGATTTCTAAATTAGCAACGGTTGCGTTATGTTATTTCTAAATAACTCGTTATAAAATAACAGATTAATTAACAACCCATCTCTAACTCCAATGCATTGGCCACAATTTTACTGAAAAGCTGCGATGCAAGGCGATCTTCTTTGGTTCAATACCAATAAATAATAATCAATATAAAAAAAATTACGTGGAACTCCCATATTTTATTTGCCTACTGGAACGATTCCTTATCTTGTAGTATATCCATTCTATATCGAATATTATTGAATGTTATTTGTGATTGTATCATTAGATTGATATGCTCGTATATACTCGATATCGATTTTATTATTAGATTGATATACTGGTTTTATCTACTTCAATTTTCAGTTGGTTAAAAGCTAACCTAAAACATAAATGTTTGCTTAAAAACAAACTAAACAAAATATTCATGCCTAAGCATTATTAAAACACACATAATAAAATTATACTTACATTTATATTTATCAAAATTTCACTCGAAAAGGATACAATGTGATACAAAAACATACCAGTTTAACCAATGACTAAAGAATACAAGGACATATAACACCCGAGACCAAATTGTTACCATGGCACCAAATAGTGCCGTAGCCCGTAGCCATATATTTTTCTTAACTTAGCTGCTTGAAGGGATATTTATATTTTTGATAAATGTTTTGACTATGCCTATGGTGTAGGCGGTGGTATCATACTAATTAATTAGGATGAAAACGTATTAAAATGTTAACAAAAGGTACACAAGTAGTATTGACGATTAGCACATATGAAGTAGAGTATAGTATCAGAAAAATAATTACCAAATTCAATAAGAAAACGCTAAAAACGTGGAGTAGACTGTTTATTATATTGAACCAAACTCCTGGCTCTTTCTTATCATTGCGGCTTTTACGGCACACAACAAATTATTAAAAATCGCTAAAATTGTCGCTGTTGACGTGGTGGTGATTCATCCGCAGGCTCCAATATGATGGCGATGGCGTCTAACGTAACAAATTCTGCTGCAGCCTGTATATGGGCGTTACATGTCCTTGTATTCTTTAGTCATTGAGTTTAACGTTAGCCTAACCTAACTTATACCGTATGATCGAAAAAAAGACGTCAGCGATGGCTATGAAATGAACATCGTTGTCATTTTATATGTAAAATTATATGAGGAATATCGTCGATGTTCATTTCCAAGCCAACTAGACGCCGTTTTTTTCGATATGGTATATTTGTTATATATTAACTTGCGCGGATCTTTTTAATCGCCTTTCAAAAACAATGTGTCTGTAGGAAGATTTCATCAGTCACGATACAACGTTTAGAAATCAACATTATAAAGCAAGTTGTTTGGGGATTGACTGTAATGTTGCAAACGTAATGTGAGGTTTTTTGCTTGGTGAGAAGTTAGTACTAAGATTTTAAGAGTCTATTACGCTGTACTGTTCGGGTCGCTCTCAGGGGTCGGGTAAAGCGGGTGTGTGGCCAAAGGAAATATATATTATATTTCAGAAATCTGCCTAAGGCTTAGCCCAATCCTGTCGTATTAAGCCATACCTAAAATTACAAACACACATGCTTGGATTAAGGCTTGATTAAGGTTTGCAGAGCTTCAGGATTTGCCATAAAATAGCGAACAATTTGTTACAAAACCATTTAAATTATATATCACTGTAACCACAAAACTTCAGTCTATTTCCGTATTGTAACGGGATTTTAAATTTTGTGTATTTATTTTCGAGAATCCCACACCCGGCAGCATTTTCGGTTTCCTATACGGCTAACGCAACCGATTGCGTTAATCGCATAGGAAACGGACTCGAGACCTGCAACTCCATTTACTAAATGGTTACCGCAACCAATGCAAATGATATTATTATAATGAGTCATAATATTATTATTATGACAGGTGGTTCGGTTGCGAATTTATGAAATAAACGCAATTTAATTTGCCTTGATCCAAGTCTAATAGGAACTTAAAAAAAGGAATATCATTAACTTGCAAAAGTTTTAAATAAGTACTCATTGATTCCTCATAAAAAAATATGAAAAAAAGTTCCTAGGTGACTGGTGGCGTAGAGGTACAGGCTCTCGTCTGCCAATCTCAAGGTAGTGGGTTCGATTCCCACACCCGGCATTGCATCAGCCGACTATTTTTATTAAAATAAAAATAGTTTGGGTACCTAGGTCGACTCAGCCTTAAATGAGTACTTGGGATTCACAATCCTGAGGTAATAATTGGCGGTTGTATACCGAACGGCTCTAGTATGGCAAGCTGTACCTTGCTACTCTCAAGGCGTTAAACGCTATACACGGGAGCTATTATTATATATTATATTTTCGAGAAAATTTAGACCAAACATAAGGATTAATTTTTGACCATCAAATCTTTAAAAATAAAAAAATTGTCTAAATATGTGCTACAATACGGCTATAGTATAATCGTTTATCTTTAATTTTCTTCTTCATTTTTGTATACCTAGCCAGTTTTACATAAAACGTTAAATGCCGAACGCTTATTTTGCTACTTTTTCGGACTAGTGAAACGGATTCTTAAGTTTCTCGAAATATATTATAGCAGGGCTGTTAGGAGGTATATGTCCTCTTGATATTAAAACTTTTTAAAATTAGGTTTTTTGTAATTATCTTAAATACCATTTTTTTTAATTTGAAATTGCTGTAATAAAATTGCGTTTATCTCATCAAGGAGGCCGAATTCGACAAAATATCAAGAGATAACTTTTAATTGGCATTAAACGGCCTACTCAGTTTTGATATCAAAAGAAAAAGTCAGTGGCGCACATGTTTATTTTGAAAAATATTCCAGTGATGACTCATATGTACCTGATGAATTTATTAATAAAATGTTTTTTGAAACATCCTGTATATTCCAGCCGTCCAGTGCTCTCCTGTAAAATTAGTAAAATGACGCCTATCGTGTTTTCCCCTGGACCCTCTCTCTTCATATCATAAAGCTGAGCAATAATCTAACAAATCGATATCAATATTTATAATCTAGCTTGATATAGCGGTAAAGTCTTGAATATTATATCTTTAACACCGCCCACTATTTTTTGATACCTTAATATTTTAAAAATAACAATTTTAGCTGCACATTGTGTTTGGGAAATCCCAAAAAATCATATTCAAGTAATAGCTGGAAAATACAAGAGTGATTATTATATTAACGAGGAGGGGACCCAAATCAAAGTCATTCTTCATATATTCATACATCCGTTATATCAAGATGTAATAGGGAATTATGCTACAGATTTAGCCGTTCTAGTTTTGGTAGATCATTTTCAATTATCAAATACCGTAATACCGATTTGCCTTAACTGGTCTCTCAGGAACATTGTGAGCAACTTGACACAGGATTTGGAAGGTATGGTATGTATTACTTTTGGTAAATCTAGCTAATAATTCGAAGTGTATATAAAATATATTTCTAGGTTATAGGTATGGGGTTAACAGAGAATGGAAAGCCCTCTGAACAATTAAGAGCTGTCAAAATGCCTATAGTGAACAACGATGAATGTTTAATTAATCAAAGAGTTGAATTCAAAAAGTTTATTTCCATTACAACATTTTGTGCAGGAAGTAAAAATGGTAATTGTTGTATAGGATTTAGTCTAATTTTTTTAACCTTTATGCACCTTCATATTAAAAGGCGTATTTGAAGGATTGAGTTCATTTTTTACCTTCTATAAACTGTTACACAGGGCGAGTCTTAAATAAGTGCAAATATTTTTAGGCTAATAAATTTCGACTTCAGAAACACGATTATGAGTTTTTGTCTCGCGAAAAAAAATTAGACATGGGATTTTAAAAAAAAAATTGATTTTTTTTTAGTTTTTAGTAGTGATGGCATCACTCGAGTGAAAAATACTTGGTCACCTGAGTATTCATATCCACGGTTATGTCTCGAGGATTTTTGTCGATCCTCGAGGATTACTCGGCACGCAACTAACATAGAGTGTGGCGTACTGTCCTCGCTGTTCGCGAGGATACAGGCGATTTACGATTTATGCTGAAACCTTTTATATACAAGATAGAGGCCAACCGTTTAATCACTTGCTTGCATAACAATAATGATCGGTTTTCTGAGTAGTAACCTGCAATTTTAAACAGAAATATATTACTTATTTTTGTTTGGTTTAGTTTAGATTTTGAGGTGTATTAATGATAATATTTCTTTAAATTATAAAGATTTTTTCTCCATACTCTTTATTTAAAGATTTTTCAGTATTTATATAGTATAATATAATGTATTTTTCTGTGTAACAATTCAGAATTGAAAATTCATAATATGTCAGTTTTCGACTTTTAAAATTCCATTTGACAAAACCACAGTTGTTTATTTGTTGTTAAGACTTTGTAGTTTTTCCTTTATTTACATTTTTAAGTTTCATTTTATGCGTTTTCTTGTAAAAAACCTTTGCTTGTAGTTGTACGTTGGCAGACTATATTCTGATGAAAGTAAAATTGAAATTTAGTGTGATGGAACGTACAAAGTGAATGATTTGCGGAATTTACCAAAAAGAATAAAAACAATATTATTGCTGTAATTTTATTTCATTTAAAATAGTTTTTAAAGCGACAGCTGACTCGTTATAAGCCTTAAGTCCCTTTCTCAGAACTACGTTTTGTCGCTGGCGATACTGTTTGACATTTCAAACATGAGAGCTGTATTAAATTTAAAATTGACAGCTGTTTGAATTTTGTACAAATCTTATTGGTTCTTTTGACGTATCGCTGGCGACAGTACGACGTTTTGAGCACGGGGCTTTAGGTAAATTAGCATTAGCTACTATTTTTTCTATTAGGACGGCTATATATCGGATTCAAGGCTTTAGTATAGGTACTCTAAAAATCCAGTATTTTCCACAATAGTAAGAGGTTGAAAATCCGAAACAATCATCATTAGCAAATTTGTTTTCGATTATTAGTTAAGCTTTGCCCAAACAACAGACTTTTTAAAACTGGACATTATGTCACACAAAAACTTAAAATATGCACAATAACACAATACTACCGTAAAATGGCTTATTTCTGGGGTTTACTCAACCAGGTCTCACAATGCAAATTCACCTCAAATATCCATTTAGTTGGTCATTGGCAAGCACTCTCTCACTGTACATGAAAATAACAAAACAACCATTTACTGATCTGGATAAAATTGATAGTTAAATAGTAAAACTCATCCGGGAGTACTCCGCCCCCTAGCCACTGACATCACTGACATTCTATTCAATATATCCCATTTTATATCCTCCATCTAATTCAAATATTATTCGGATTTATTGGTTAATAATCTTCAACAAGTAGCTAATGTCACCTGAAATAGTATAGGGGCTTCCCGCGGACGCAAATCTGCCGCAACAGATTCGCATCCCAATCGAATAGGCTAATTGGGGTACCTCACTACCCCAACGCCGCATCGTGTCAATCGAGAAGTCAAGGGAGACCTCAAACTCTCAAGACCAACCTCGAAGGCAAGACGTCAAAAGAGGTTTTCATCTCAATTCGAGTCGACTTGCAACCAGGGAGGAATGGTCAAAAGACCCGTTGCCTTACAGTCAACGACATGCAGCCAGGGAGGTGACAAAACACAACACTACAGCCGGCCGGCCCGTCTACTACTGACCCGCCGCCGGCAAGCTAAGCCTCCTCTTACATCACAATTTTACCTGATCACAAATATTTACATCGCTTGCCAATGAATCATACTATTTTCTCTAATCGACTTTCAAATAGAGTGTTTTAGCATTACAGGATAAATAAATAGAGAGTTTCCAAAGGAATGCATATTCTCTATGAGAATAGTGAATAAATAAAAGCATTATTATAACGAACTTATTTGCCAAATTTTACATACCACAATTTCTTAGGTACTATAGTTTATTTTCGGTGACAATACGCTACTAAGAAGTAAAACACAATTTATTTTTTACCTCAATGACCGACCGACGACAATTAAACAATAAATAACGAGTCCTTTTAAAAAAGCCGTCCGTATTTCCTAGAATTACTTGTTTTCATTTGGCCTGGAATGCCTTTGGATTAATCTCAAAGTCGGAGTCAATCGGAGTTAATGAAACAAAACCAGCACAATTTAAAGCTAAACCTAGGAAAATGTTATTTCCCACATGAAATTATGCACGAAAATATTAAAGATTATTAAAAAAGCGTTTAAAATAATTATTTATTTTTATTACAATAGTATTCACGTCATTCAAGTACAGGGTGGGTCAAATTCGACGCTTTTAAATGGAAACACCCTTTTCTATAGGATATAGACGAAAACTAATATTGGTGTCTGGAGCTCAATTTTCATCAAAAACATGATGGTGAAACCAGCACATCAATATCTGTTACCCTTTCGGAGTTCTGTGTGTTTTTCAAAAATGTGCATATTTAACAAATCGCTGAAACTTTTTTGCTATGGAAAATTTTGTATTTCTATGAAAATATTTCCAACGCACCTTTTTACGTATAATTTAATGGTTTGGTTTGGTTTTTTTTTTTTAAATTAATAATTTAAGAGTTATCAACAGAAAAATTGATTTCTTATTTGGGACACCCTGTCTATTTTTAATTAACTGAAAAGAACTTAAAATTACCTTTCCAAAAATATAGCACACTTGATATTTTGTTTTAATCCCCTTCGAGATATAGAGTATATAAAAATTCGCCCGCTTTATACGCAAGCGATCGAGCGTCGATCGAGAACTTCCAGCGTCTATTAGTAACTTTACTTTAGGGTTTTTAATTTCTACGTAAGGTAATGCGTTATTTCTCGCAATATTAGTATTAATTTCTATCATTTCGTTGTCTTTTGGAGGCTCGGCTCCGTAAAATTTTCTTTTGATTGAGAAGAATCGTTATTTATTTGATTTTCTTCGAAATTTTCGGTTTCGAAATATTCGTTATTTTGATCGTATTGATTTTCTTCAGAATAATATTGATTATAGTCTTGAGAACAGTATTGATTATTGTAAGCAAAATCGTTATAATTATTATAATCGTTTTCGTCAGAATAAACCTCTTGGAACATAAAATTTTAGTTTAGATTTTGTTGGTAATTTGGCCTAAAATTTTGTGTATGAGAATTTCTTTCACTATACATCGTAGAAGGAACGTGTGATGTTGTCGACTTCGGTTCAGGTTTAGTTTGTTCGTGTGGAGGCATGGGTCTAGGTTTAAAGACATTACGAGGGGGTCCGAAAACTTTTCTGTTAGTGGGAAATCTTTGGGGTACTTGTCGAGATGGGGGTAAATCAATAGGTTGACTTGGAAAAACTGGTTTCGATTGAAAATTAGGGTTTTGTTGATAATTTGGGTTATACTGTTTGTTATAATTTTGTTGATAATTTTGGTTTCTGTTATAGTTATTAAAATTTGGTTGATTTTGAAAATTATTTTGAGGATTATTTTGAAAATTTCTAAAATATGGATTCGGTCTTTGCATTGGTTGATTATTTGGTTTTTGCTTTATATTTGTATTTTGCATACTACCGTATAATCTTTCGAAATTTTCAAACTCATCAACAAAAGCTATCGCATCTTCTAGAGAGTCTGGTTTTTTAATATACATATTATTTCGTAATTGACCACTACACCCTGCTATAAAAGTATTTAAAGCGGTTTTATCGTACACAGAAAAAACACTACAGTATCAACAAAGAGAATAACTTTACGCCAACGATACACTACTTTCCCCATTCCTCGACTATATCAGTGTTTGAATCTACAAGTATCATGATATTGCTTTCGGAATATATACTATCACTGTCTCAACTATAAGAATTCATTGGTTTCCAATACATCATTTAACGATAACATTAATTGGATTTCAATAGGAGTGTATTTTTGTGGCAAATATTATATGATATTAAATGAACTTCCTTGTTCTTGAAATTAAGGTTTTGGTTTTATTGTTGTTGAAGGGATTTTAGTAAAATCATTTTACTTTCATGTTAAATTTATAATTAATATATTACTATATTTATTTTCATTTTGGTTCGTTTTTATTATTAAACAAAGTACAGAAAGCAAAAATTATTAAAATTATACATTATACATTTTGCCAGTGTTGCCAGATGTAATATAATTATCGAATTGTAACATAATTTTGGAACAAAATTTTCCCAAAAAAAATTTGTACCATAATCGATAATTGTAACATAATTTGGTAACCTGCCATAATTAATGTTTTATCAATCATGAACTATATTTTTATGATAAATAAATTAACTTTAAGTTAGTTAATGCAAAATGACTCAAATGGTTTTAAAGTTTAAAAGAATGGCAGGGTCTAGAGCACTAAATATTCGCGACGAATCAAGTAATTCCGATTTAAAAATGCGGGTAGAAGAGAAACCAGACCCCGATATTATAAAACTAACTGAGGAAATACGTTTGAAACCTATTAAAAATAAGTTAAACCAACAAAAATAGGATCCAAATTTATTGCTATCATTATATTTTTTAGATAATTCCCGCAGAACGAAATATATGGCTTGTAACATAATTTTGTGATAAATTCGATAATTTTATCTACATTGTTCCATAATTTCATATCCGACACCTGGCAACGCTGCATTTTGCTATTCTCTGCATTAAGAACATTGCCTGGAAACTTATATGGTGAAATTTTGATAAAATTATTTAGTACACACTAAAAACACGGTATGTCGCTAGTGGTAGGAAAAATAATTTTTAGATGTTACTAGTTTATTTGGTTGCCTGTGATATGCATATAGAGTGTGTTTCCTAATTAATCTAAAAAATAAAAATCGTTAGAAAACGAATTAAGGTGGGCTCTTAATAAGTATATTTATTGTTTTCTCGACAACCGTTTGGTGAACAAGAAAAACTCAAAAGATCAATTTTGTTGAAAAAGGATGGCCAGTCAAGAAAAAAATATATTTTCTTTAAAAAAGCAGTAGTGTACCATTTATGTTAAGCAAAAAATCGATTTTTTTTTAATTTTTAACACCCTGTAGAACAGAAAGGAAGTACTTTAGACCTAACGGTTATATAAAAACTGTTTTAAGAACACATGAGGAATCACACCATAATTTCGTGATTCGTGATATAACACCATGATTTAAGCCTGATTTTCGCAGGACAAATTTTGATTTTTATTGAATTTGGGCCTGCGTTTGCAAATACTCATTTGTTTTTTAATTTTCTATCTATCTAAATTTTAAATATCATAGTCAGAAATAGTTTTATTATTTATTAACTGTAAAAATAGTGTTTTCTTGTTGTGTTGCATCTTGCAAAGAAACTAACAAAACTGCAAAAATGTACGTGTTTCCAAAAGATGATAAGGTATGTATCTTAGATAAAAGAAAATATATGGTATGTATTCGTTGTTTGATTTTTTTTTTCGTTCGCTTTAAAATCTATAAATCTCGGTCTATTCATTAGACAGCCAGTCGACTTACGATCATTTACATGAAACTCTGTAAAATAAATAAAAAATTCACAGATTTTGCAACATGCGCAACCATCATAGGCGTATTGAAAATACCAGACACAAGTTGGCGGTTGTCGCAGAAAAAAACTTTTTTTTTACACACCCCTTAATTTTAAATGAACTTATTCGATACTTTACGGTCACCCTTATAATGTTTACTATTGAACTGTGATATTTATTTCTTGGTTACAGAAACCATGCAATGTAAGGTCGTGGCGATAAGCAGCAAAAATAAATTACATTAATAAAAATTAATGTAAAAAATAAAATTTGGTCACAAAAAGTTTTTATTATTATTCTAAAGTAATAACCATAAATATAAAATCTTGACACTTAGTGATAGTGGTTTCATTATGTTGTTTCTTGCATTGGACTTTATTAATTAAATATAAATCTGAAACAAAATTTCTGATTTTAACGGTAGGTACCTATAATTTTTTAATATTATTTCTGAAAAATAAGAAAGTAAACGTAATAATAATTAATATCGGTTTAAAGGTCGAAACTACCAGTTTGATTAGATTATCGATGTATACATGTATACTCTGTTTTTTTCTCAGGTAAGACAGACGATGACAAGAAAAGCAGATGACATCCCATACCAATCTATTTATTTTACTAAAAAAAGTTTCCAATATTTTTTAAGTTAGCTATGGATGGGTTTAAATATAAATCCGTCATGCGTAGTCTCTTGTTGTTTTTAACAAGTTTTATTGGTTTATTTCAAAAATGACAGATAATAATTTTTTTGAAATCCTTTATTACTTCCATTGACTGAAACTAATTATGTATGGTTGGATAGAGGGTGGATGGCGATCTTCCAGGGCGGTTTTTATTTCTTAAATATGTATAGATTATTTTAGAAATCGAACCAAAGTCAATTTCAAAGAAATTTTGCAAAATCTGAAAAAATAAAATCTCCCCAAAATAATAAACAGTGAAATGATTAGTTACCCTCTATAGATAGAACCTCTACCTATGGTCCCATATAAACTGTATTACTAAAATAAATAGTTTAGTTAGTAGTGAGAGGTACCGAACATCATCGATACCGCAGATATACGTCTCCGATTACTTCTTTGATCCGATTGGACGGTTGGTTGCGTATTTTACAGTTTCCTATTTTTGTTACGCCTGCCGACCTTGGCGTGATGCTTCAGCCATTCAAGGCCGTGTGTCGCGTGTAAAGAAGTTTTATATCAATAAGTAATCAAATTCATATAAATGTATATTCTAAAATGCTTCATTTCGGAGATACAGGGTGTAGAAGTTTTGTAATTATTTCGGTTTTTTCAAAATAGACGTCGATTTTTGGATATAAATTATTAGTGTCTGAGTGTATTTTGACATGAGAAATTTGACTTCGATGTCAATATGATGCTACGGCCCTGTCTTTTCAAATGCTTCTGTGTTCAAATGATTTCAAGTGTATAAAATTATTGATTGAAAAAATATACATTTCCATAATTCTTTTGAGTATCTTATCACCACCCCCTCCACTTAAGGCCATTCAACCTTTTCCAATATGGCGGAGATAGAAGTGCTGTATTTGGCGCGTATTTTAAACCCTGTTTTATTTCAAAAGGTAAACAATTTAAAAATGCACTGCCTTCACCACCATATTTGCCTTCCGCATATCATGTTGACTGGCTTTAAGTGGAGAGGGTGGTGATCTTATACCTATATTGTATAAATTACCTCCTTACTGTGACTCCAAAGTCTCTAGGGACAGAGGAATCAAACAGGTTGATTATCCTATGTGTTCTGGTATCTGGCTCAGGGCTCTGGCTGTGAAAACATAAAGTAATGTTAATCAGAATAAATAAAAACATTTAGTTATGCAGGGTGGTCCGAATTATTTTCGATAAAATTCGGCAGCATATACTGCAGAAAAAAATTCTAAATTTCATTCTGTAACACTATACACAAGATATAAAAATAACAAAATAATAGTCTTGAACAATAATAAAACGTTAGAAGGAAAGAGCCTTCAAAAAAATAACTGTCACAGTCTAAAACTTTTAGCGCGAAATGCAACTAGGTCCCTGGATGACGTCGACCGGTGCAGAAAAACTGACAGTATAGGGATTGAACAATCCTTGTCTCTATAATATCCTTGGTTCAAACCACTAGATTTAGTGGTAAAGGTAAAACCACTAAGGTGGCAACACTGGTAGAAGTACGAACATAAACAGCTCTATGGAACAGCTCTTATGGGACTTTATTTTATTCGAAAAATGGTCACTACGGAGCAAGATTACTAAACTTCTACAGAGGCAACTAGAGACGATCAAGTTAAATGGGGAAATTGGTTGTAACTTAGGAAACGCTAAGCGCTTTTAGACGCTCAGCGTATATGACGTTAATTTTCGCTGAGCGCGCACTTAACTACCGATTTGGGTATTCTCATCTGACGCGCTTGGCGTCTTTACTGATTGCGCTAAGCGCTTGGAAAGTTGCCTTAAAGGATCGTTTTGCTTGTCGAACTGTCAGTGAAAATAGAAAAAATTGTGATTTTGTGCGTTATCTTGCTCTTTAATTAAAATTACTACTTCTTCACTGAGCGCGCACTTAATTAACGATTTCGGTATTCTCGTCTGACGCGCTTAGCGTCTTTATTGATTGCGCTGTGCGCCTTGAAAAAGGTTGCCTTAAAGGATCGTTTTGCTTGTCGAACTGTCAATGAAAATCAAAAAATTTGTGATTTTGTGCGTTATCTTGCTCTTTAGTGAAAATTACCACTTCTTCTATAAATTCATCAATAAGTAATTGATAGTTTACGACTTGGCAGCTATAAATATTGTTCAAAACATCGAAAATGCTGAGAAGCGTCTTCAACACTTCCCTCGTATAATAAGAATAATGACACATCCATAGAAAAATAGCTTGACATAACTCAACAATAGGTTATGAAATTCACGTAACATTGACATTTTTCATTGTTACATCCGTCAGTTATCAACTTTTGACTATTACCTGCATTAGAAATTATGATGTTGCTAATATGTGCTCAACGCGTATCCAGAACACAATTCGCATGGCAACGAGAATACCAAAATCGACTGCCTTGCGTTTCGCTGATCGAATACTTGCACTCACCGCTTTGAAAGCGTAACGTTTTTATGTCAAAGTTACAGAATACGGGCCCAGGTCGCATATTTTGCCAAATGTTGAGCCAACGTTCCACTTGGCACGATGAAGCAGAAAGCCACCATCAATTATGTTGTAAACTGCTCCTATCGCGAAAAATGATTAGGACCATTTTTGTAAACAATTGAATTTACTTTCATTTTGTATAGAACATTTTTTTTGCTAGGATGCTTAGTTTTCGAGATAATAATGAAAAATATATAAACCGGCCCTTTTCACCCCTTCCCCCTCCCTCCACGGCTAACGCACAAGGCCTATGGCTGGGGACTTTTGGTATGTTACTTCTAAGGGTCAACCCTACCACTTAAAACATTAGTTTCTTTGACACTATTTTTTCCGAATTGCGGTATTTTTTGGTGTTCGTTTCCTGGCCTACTAGGCTACATAACTAAAAATTTAATTGATATCAAATATACTTTGATATTTGTTTGTTAAGTTTCTTGGCAATTTTGATGATGCACCAAAGGCGGTTCGGTTCCATCGACTACATTAAAAATGAAAATATAAAATTTTACAATTCTGATAAAAAAATAGCTTAACAGTTATACTTAAATTTACTTAACACGTTCTCCCAGATCATTTCTAATCTAGTCCAAAGCAAAAACTAACACCAAATTCTTATTACACCCTAAGACAATAAATAAAATAACGTTCTATATAATGCAGACTTTATCTGTGACACTGTATATATTTCAGGTAGCACTGTATGTAATGGGGATAGTGGAAGTGGATTAGCGATTCAAGATCCCCAAACACAAAAATGGTATTTAGAAGGAATTGTCAGTATTAGTCCGAAAGATCACAACAATGATCTATGTGATGTTCACTATTATTCAATTTTTACAAACGTTGGAATGTACGTAGATTGGATTTATCAAATATCATCAGCCTTTACTGAATATTAATACCGTATGATCGAAAAAAAAACGGCGCCCAGTTGGCTTTGAAGTGACGATCGATGATATTCCCTATACAATTTTACATATAAAATGACAGCGATCTTCATTTCATAGCACCGCTGACGCCGTTTTTTTTTTCGATAATGTTGTATAGGGTATTAATTTAGGACCCACATTATAGTTGTTTTTATACTATAATAAGTTTATTAATTAAAGCAGTCATTAAGCACTCCACTCAATTACTTAACAACAATGTTTTTTAATCTTTATTTTATTTTTTTTTGTATTATATTTATTTGTTACTGTAATATGCTGTAATATACTGGATCGTAATGCAATGTTGCAAATATAATGTGACGTTTTTTAATTGGATATCTCTTCTGAAAAAATCAATGAAAAATACGCTGTACTTAAACTGCCGTTAAACGGTAGCTTACTAAAATGCCGTTAATAAGTATGACGTCGTTGATGAGACGCCCTTGACGGCTTTATGAAATATAGGAATTTTATTAGGACTAACCAACACTATCCACCCCACCAAATAACCAACGCAACTAACCTCGACACTGGTAAAAAATATAAATTAGTAAAAACCAATCAACCTCACCAAATAACCAACTAACCAATGAATTAACACCCTCCAAATAACCACGCTAACCAACCCGCCAAATAACTAAACCAATCCAACCAAAAAGAGTGAAACCAATGCAATAAGATCACGCTATAAGCAAAAAAAAATATATAAAAGAAGTCTTGGTCCGGCGTAAGATTTGAACCACGGACCATTCGCTCACGAAGCAATAGCCTCAGTCACGGAGCCACAGGTGCTCTTGCAAAATGCTTATAGTTAGGCATTACTTTCCGCCGACATCCACTACGTCATAATATCTATTAACGGCATTTTAGTAGGCTACCGTTTAACGGCTGTTTAATTACATTGTGAAAAATATTTGTAAGGTGGTGATATCAAGTTTGACACTGACAAATTTTTGTCACTTATAGGCGCAGTATTCAAATGATTTATTCCATTTGAAAGTCAGGGAAGGCCAGAAACTAATAACTAATGTGAGAGAGACCGATCAACGTTAATTTTTGAAGACTGTGTTAGTGGCGCGGCCTTTGGCGTCTAACCTGAACTATGAGCGCGTTATCGATATAGTAGGTTGCATTCATACCTATATACTGGCGCCAAAAATTTAAAATTTGTATATTTGAACCGAATCTTAATCTTTCAAGTTTATAATAAGAAATCTTCGTAGTTTTTTTACATTATTTTGTTCACAACAAAAATTTATTATTAGACTTTAAAGCATTAAAACCTATAAATAAAATACTGTGTAGGAACATAATAATTTATTTAACTCCAAGAAATATCTAGCAATAAAAAGAAAAAAATATATTCCCATAACACAACATACTAATGTTTCGCCACAGGCTTTTCTTGACCTGTGGGTGAACCGTTTGTCAACCCAGGTTGACGAAATAAAATGATACGGATAAACAGAAAAAAAACACATTCTATAAACAAACAAAAAATAACAACAATAAATAAAACAAAAACAAACAAAACAAAAAATCTAAAACTAAGTTGTTCAAGAAAAATAAAATATAAAATCTAATAACGTAAAATATGTCTTAACTCAAAAATCTAAAAATTTCGAAATATAGAAACTACAGGTTATAAAACAAATAATACAGGTACTACATGTAAATACAGAGTGTTTGTCAATTTGTAACACTCTGTAATTAGGTTTTGAAATATCATAAATAATAGGTATTTTAAAGGTGTTTCACCTTCCTCAGTCTTTTCAATTCATAAGTTTTCTCTAATTGTTTTGATTTGTAAATATCATTATAATATTTTCTTATTATTAAAGAAACACTAGCCTTATAAAATAAATGCTTTACTTATATCTTATGCTCAGCACATGTTACCCAATCACAGGTTAAATTCTGTTTTAACAGTAGGTACATCTTTTTTAATAAATTAGTAACATAGCCGTGAGAAGGTAACATTTTATAAACTATCACATACATATTTTTTAATGACACAGCCATGTTTTTATATACATATTTAAGTCTAAATTTGTCATCTAATTTCTTAAACATTGTAAAGGTGTGTTCTGGTTGACGAATTCTGAATAAATATTTTCTTGGCAAACTCGCAGTTAATGGATCAACATTAATCAGCTCGTTAATAAAATTATCGTCTGAATTGTCTTTTGGTTAAGATAAGATTGAAGGGAGTCTAGGATACTTGAGCGATCATTGTCACAATTTTGACCTGCTGAGAATGGCGTTATTAAACTATTTAAAATGGAGGTTTTGTAGCATGAAATAAATTGGTAGGGATTGGGATTAGGGATTGGTACTAGCTGCACCAAACTGGCCGGATTTCAGCAAACTGATTCTCTAGAGGATCCTGATTTAAAGATCTAGTTTTCAAAAATTTCATTCCTAATTTATTGGATTCTTTAAATAACTCCCTAGTGGCATTTATTCTTGTTACCCACCCATCTTTAAATGGGATGTACTTTGTATGGCTCTTTTCATCCTTTCAGATAAATGTCCAATTAGAAATTTCTGATCTCATTTTCTCAAAAAATCCAGTGCCTAGGATTTTGGGATAGACATAGACGGTATGGCTTGCACTGTTCAGGTCTAATCGTCCGTCCATTATATCTGTCAAATAAAATATCAATGTCTTGAACAAATTGAGCTGTATTTATGGCATCACTGGGAAGTTTACCTGGCTCAGTGCCAATTAAAGAATAAATGGTAACAGCCATTATTGTGTTACTGAGGACCTTTGCGGCTACAGAAACTTTCATTTTTAATTTGTTATGCCTCTGTAGATCTAAATAAGTATACCTAATTTTTGTTAAAGCCTGGAAGGGTCTTTGTTGATCAAAGTGTCAATGATGTGTTGAGATTATGCAACTTTATTATTTTCGAACCGGATATTATATTTAAAAAGCGCTGTTCTTGTATTTTTTAACAGATGTGGCGGATCAAATATGGTAATTTTTTCCCCCATTTATGATAAAATATGGACCAGGTCTATCTAAATTCGCACTAACTAATTTTTTTATGGGTGCACGATTAGTTGCACCCTGATCACAAATTGTCGCCATAATATTAAGACCTACCCCCTGTAAAGATTCAATAACTTCTCTTATAAGAACAACTAAATGCTGACTTTTAATAGTATCTCTGGTAAAATAATAGCAAATAGGTTGTTTCCAATTTTTACATAATCCACGCACCATATACACTAGTGCGTGATTTGCAAATTCACTTCTCCTTCCTAAAGTTGCGTCTAATCAACATCAACATATCCTACTACCTACAACTTTATCATTGGATTTTTATCATATATTAGTTGCTCTGACAGAAATTTCATCAAAAAGAAGTACAGCAGTTTTATCTAAGTCTTTTAATTCTGAAACTCTTTTGGACAGTTTTACTAAGGTTTCTTTGTTAATGCCAGGCTCAAAAGGAATTTGACTTAATAATCGTGTTAGAGTGAACTTTGATGGCAGAGGTAAAATATTTTTTTACAAATCGGTAACTTTTTGGGCCTTGTTTATACAGAGCCAATGAAATCTTTTACTGTTACGAATAATACTACACTCAGATGCAAGAAAAACGCAACGGAGAAATTTTTGGTCAAATTTAAAGTGTTATATTTTTGTTATTTTTAGCACTATTTTCATGAATTCTTTAGCAAACTGTGTATAATTATATCAACTTTAATTCGTAAACTAAGTTTTTTTATAAACTTTTGTATTTGGCATATTATACAAGGTTAATCGAGGGGTTGTTTTTATACCCTAACTTTAAAACTCCCTGTGCAATAATTTCGTGAGTAAATTTTCCGAAAATATAATTTTTCTGTGAGAACCATGACTCCTGAGCATTTTGTTTTTTGATTCCTGTCAATACATCCTTTAGTTAATTTTTAAGAGCGAAATGAACTGATCACGATCAATTTGCAATTTTTTCAATTATCATTACTTTTTGATGTAATTTTTTTATATGAAGAGATGGTTTTGGTGACTATTATCGTAATGTCATATTACGGTGCATTGGATACTTTGCACTAAATCAAAAACAAAATTTAAAGACTAACGATACAGTCCTGGTTTTAATAAACATTAATAACGATAACAGAACTAACGATATTAAAGAAAGCATCTGTAATACCTAAGTGTACAAACAGAAAAAAAAATTGCAAAAAGTACCCTAATACCACAGTTAAAGAATATAAAATATCGTCCTGTACGCAAATATGTTTTGTATTTTAAAAACAGCTTACCTTCATTAAACCTTCTCTGAAGATCAGCACTTACTGCTGATTCACGAAAAATGAAAGCGTCATGATTGGCGCCTCCAAACCTTGCATTTATGTTTAGAATTTGCATATCAAAGTCACAAACCTAAAAAATAATATATTTTGAGAATAGTAAGACTCTAAGATTGTAAGAATTTCCTATACTTAGTAGTACCAAAGTAGTAGATAAAGATCATTAGGTAATAAAATATCAATATAAAAGAGCTTTAAAAAACTTTGACAAGTTCGCTGCATGACTGTTAATACTTACAATCAGTACATTTTTTGAATTGTATTCCTTCCGATTTAAATATGCATGTTCCTCCTCTTTTGGAGCAATAATGGCCACATTAGTGTAATCAATAGCACCAATTACACCTGGGAAACGGTCATATATCGTATATCGTTTTTATTCTATTAAATGAACCCTATCCCTTTTAAAAACAATCCATTCCTCAGCTAGCTCACTAATAATAAGTGTTGTACCACGTTTTATAACCTTGCTGACAATTTGCTGACATGTAGGAAAATAGAAATTATTTCCTGCAGCCTTTTGGTATGAACCCGTTGCAAAAAGGTTCAATGCCAACAATATGTATTGCATCGGATTTATTGCTAAATAACTGACTGTTTCCAAATGAGGAAACAATCTTGGCAGTAATATAGTGTTGACCATATCTTTAGTAAGCATGAATAATGCAACGAATTGCTCTTCAGGCATTGAAAATGCATCACTTTTGCTTCTCTGCCATCTTTCTTCAAAATTTATTTGACGAATTATTTCTTTTCTTTCTTTCTGCTCAAGCACATGTTAGTTGAAGATGTGTATAGGTAGCATCTGAAATTATTGATATTTATAGATTTATAGATATGTAACATGATACGTAACGCTTAAAAATTCGCTCGAGTACTCGATTATTAAAATAACCGACATTGCTCGATTATGAACGAGAGATGCAAGTGACGAGTTACAAGC